ACCCCCCACCCCAATGAAAATAGCCGAAATAATCAAACGTTTTCAATGTTAACCATTGAAATTTTATCTCCCGTAAGATTGTGAATTCATTCTTTACACACACACACACGCACACAGATTCCTTCCACCCCGCTCATACTTTTTCTTCTTTTATATTTCAACTTTAACAAAAAAAAAGCTTATTTCGTTAAAAGCATCATCGCGTTTTCTTCTAACCTTCTAGCTTTTCAATCCATAAAAAACTAGATTATCGTGCACTTTAATACACGACTATAATAGTTACTCTAATAAAATCACTGCTACCGAGATCCGTGATCTTTCCATTTACTGATTTACAGATATAAATATATTTTCCTACATTTCTTATGTTTTCTTTTTCTTTTCTCAACTTTTCCCTCCCCCATACTTTTCTTTATCCGTCCTATGTTTTTTAACGAGAGATTAATTTTATAAAAATCGTCTAATATATTTTATGTAAAATTAGATGATCAATATATTTAGAATTTTATTAGCAAAAATAATTAAACATACGACACTTAACCCTTCCTTGCATGATTTTTTCTTTTTTTTTTTTTTAAATATATAAATCAGGGTGATGTAATTATTAATGCTCTAGATCAGGGCTTCTTAAACTTTTGTCATTCACGACCCCATTTATGATTGCGAGTTTCTTGACGACCCCATACAAATATTACTGCTGTCGGTGGAGATAGCTCAAAACCTTCAACAAATGCACGTGTCTAGACGCTGCAAGTCCACTCTATTCCGCCAACTCTAGTGATGTTATAAAATGGTATATATAAATATTTGACATTAAAATCTCTCGCGACCCCAGAATTTTGCTAGGCGACCCCGTTTGGGTCGCGACCCATAGTTTAAGAAGCCCTGCTCTGGATTAAAGGAAAAATATTTCAAAAAATCCTAGTGCTATTTTTTGACAACTGCGTTTCGTTGTACGCAATAGTCGTTTAAAAAGTTGCCAGCAACAACAAATATACAGTACAAGGGTTTTGAGTACCTTTTTTTCTTGACTAAATATTATGATTGAAATTTCCATCATCATGCAAAGAAGGGTTAATTTTCAATTTTCTTTTATTCATTTTCTTTTTTTCTCTTTCTCTCTGTCTGTCTCTCTCGTGGGATATCGGAAAATAACGGCAGAGGGCAAAAGTGAGTAATAGAAATTCTTCGAGATAAAAACGAGAAAAGAAGAAACGTAGCTTTTAGAAAATGTATTAAATCGTACCGAGAGATATCTCGTTACGGTTTAACACCATTTATTACTTTTCTAAGAATGTTATTCTTTATTTCCAGTGGGAAATCGATTCATCCATTCTGCAATAAAGTGAAACAAGATCCATTACAAACCGAGTGTACGGATGATCGAAGTTCCGTAGCTTTGTGCAATTTGGTGAAGCATCCTCAACCTTTACCGAAAAAATATCAAGTAAATATTATTTCAGATTATTTAATTATCCTATTTCTTTTATTAATTCTTTTAAATAAATAATTATATATATTAATAAACACGCTACGTGTATTTGTTGTATCTAAAAAGAAGCTTTTGTATGAACGACCCTTATATGGGTTCTCTAATGAAAAAAGAAAAAGAATTAATTTAGAATTGTTAAAAAATAATTTAATAGTTAATATAATATTATTATTTTATATAAATATATATATATATAAAAATAATTTAATAGTTAAATAATTTAAATAGTTGTAATTAATTGAGAATTGTTTAAAAATATTCTAATAAAACTAAACGTGCCAATAATTTCTTGATCCACTATACATATATCTATTCTTACATATTATTTAATTAATATATATAATTGAAGATATTTTAACGAGTATTTTTTATTTTCAATAGAATTTCGATTTGATCCCACACGTACCATACGGTGAAGAACAATATTATGGTGGCTCGGTATCTTTGGCAGACTATTGTCCATATATACAAGAATTTACATGGCGAGCTCGAAACATCGTTGTCAGGGGTTCTCATTGTCTTTATGAAGACAACAATCCACGTAAGTGTAAAAAAAAAAAAAAAGTATAAAATAATTATCACACAGAAATCGAATAAAAATTTCGAATAAAAAAAGATTCTACAAAAAATGTTAAAATTTTTAATAAATGAAAATGTACTTAACGATGACCATGGAATATATTTCAACGTTAGATCCGGAAAAAAATTTTGCTTTGGAAAAATATGGATCCCATTCGAGATGTTTCGATCACACCAATCAAATGTGGGAAGAAAGAACTTGCAGACAAGCACGTCAGTGGCAACATTGGGGTTCCGGTTGTTACCAATACAAATGCGAGACTGGTCGTCTGCATATTATGGTCTGTGAATATTATCCTAATGAGCAATTATCTTAAGTCATTAATAATCTCGAACTGTTGAAGACACTGATAGGATCTGTTATTGCATAATGGATAACTTACTTTAGAATTATCTATTAAATGTCATATATTTAATTGTAGGTGGCAAATTATACCTATACTTGTTATCATGCCGGTCAAGAAATAGCAATCAGAATTATTCAAAATGGTTGGCTGCACAAGGGAGCTTTGATATGTCCACGCTGTAAAGATATCTGTCAAGTAAGATTTATCTATCATATTATTTTACCTCTTCAATTATAATGGAATATAATTATTTTAATTACTATTGTTACGTATTATTCCATATCTTATTATTTTCTCGCTTATATTATTATCATTATTACAAAGATTATTATCATATCTATTACTATTATTATTATATATTATTATTAACTTTAATTGTCACATCATTGTCATTATTATATTTGCTTATTCGAAAAGTTCCTGCTAATTTTTATAATTATATATATATATTTATAATTATTAATTAATATGATAGAATTTTATATTCTTAAATATTCTATTATATTTTATTTATTTTATAATATTGTACACTGATGATGAT